ATAGCATAATTACTAGTGATTGTTGCTGCGTGAGTAGTGGTGGTGGTGGCAGCGTTAGTACTAATGATATCTTTAGCAGTACTAATAGTGTATTGGATAGTAAGAGTAGAAACTGTAGCAGTAGCAGTAGTAGTAGTGGTAGGTACAGTAGTAGAGAAGTAGCAGTAGTAGTAGTGGTAGGTAGAGAAGTAGCAGTAGTAGTAGTGGTAGGTACAGTAGTAGAGAAGTAGCACTAGCAGTAGGAGTAGTGGTAGGTACAGTAGTAGAGAAGTAGCACTAGCAGTAGGAGTAGTGGTAGGTACAGTAGTAGAGAAGTAGCACTAGCAGTAGTAGTAGTGGTAGGTACAGTAGTAGAGAAGTAGCAGTAGCAGTAGTAGTAGTGGTAGGTACAGTAGTAGAGAAGTAGCACTAGCAGTAGGAGTAGTGGTAGGTACAGTAGTAGAGAAGTAGCAGTAGTAGTAGTGGTAGGTACAGTAGTAGAGAAGTAGCAGTAGTAGTAGTGGTAGGTACAGTAGTAGAGAAGTAGCACTAGCAGTAGGAGTAGTGGTAGGTACAGTAGTAGAGAAGTAGCACTAGCAGTAGTAGTAGTGGTAGGTACAGTAGTAGAGAAGTAGCAGTAGCAGTAGTAGTAGTGGTAGGTACAGTAGTAGAGAAGTAGCAGTAGTAGTGGAAGGAACAAAAGTATCTTTAATAACAATATCAAAAACAAAAATCATAATGATAATAAACTATTAATATTACAAATAATATTAATGTAAAAAATATATATACTTTAAAACCACTAACATCAGAATATCAGTAATCAATAAATTCATGGTTCATAAACCAACAAGCAAAATTCAGAAGACTTAATTACTCTGTTGGCTCTCTTGCCATTAGCACCGTGTGTCCGGATAAGAGCAGGACACTCTTACGTAATGATTACCGAAAGTCCTTTAATTAACAACAGTAGACACTCGTATCTTGATAGGCGTGTGGCCGGATAACAGCAAGTAACAGCTACCAAGAGATAGCTGACGGGTTTCAAGTGAACGCAAATAGGAATCAAGTGAACGCAGGTGAGCACCAAATGAACACACGGGTACCAATTGAATGCAAACGGATACTAAGTGAAAAGAAATGAATACCAAGTGAACGCAAACGGAGTATTAAGTTTTCTCATACAGGGGGGCCGGGTGCTTTGTGCATGTTGGTCCTTAACCAGGGAGACCTCTCGCCCTATATAACTTGACCCTTAACTGATAGAATTACCAAAAACCGCCCATTACGAAATGAATTACAACTGCAGGGATTGTGTCAGAATACAAGGTAGCTTCTTTCCCTATATAAATAAAGTTCTGAAGTACGGTACCATGGGAAATAGGCTATAAATATCCCATGGTGGCTAAAACTGTTTTTTTCCTCTAAGCTTTCTCATAAGTTTATGCCAACTTCAGAAAGAGAGAATCCCCGACCAGAGGGTCAGAAATCCTCCTCTATAATCTGTGGAGACATTTCATGTCTCCCTAAAGCATCGATAGTTCCTTTATTTAGCAAAATTCCCCCACTACCATAATATCAGTTACCTACAAAGTGGAAGAGGGAGAGAGGGGGGGGGGAGGGCATGGTAGAATAGGAGGAGAATGGGTAATGATGGGGAGGAGGGGGTAAGATAGATTTCCCCCCACCCCCCATCAATGCATTTTATAGAAAAGGAACCCACACAGACGAGAGAAGGGAAAAATTTTGTCCACGATTAAAAAGTCCACAAGAACAACGAAACACGAAATTTACAATACACACAAGCCTGAAATTGAGGAATTTGTTTTCATTTATCACAAATGTTCTACAACTGAGCTCTTGGGAGGTTCTACAACTGAAACCATGAGAGGTTCTACAAATGAGGCCATGAGAGCGAGTGAAAGTTTCCACCAGGAACATCGCACGGCCCTCAAAGTGCCGCCACAGCGACATAGACACAAGTCCAAAAAGAAGAAAAAGCTGGTGGACAGTAAAAATCTTGCTGGAAATTGGGCAAATAATGACTCGCGAGCAGCACACGTTCGAGCTTTACTTCGAACCGCATGCGCAGGTGACCGTGACCGATAAGGTGCGAGAGCTTTGGAGAGGTTCACATGGCTGGTCAGCTGAGGGAGGATAGCTAAGTTACCCCTCGGAGGGGACAGCTAAGTTACCCTCAGATAAACAATTATGCAAGCATGCTCTTAGAGAAATTGAGAGCTGAATGCAACTGTAGTATACTGTACATACCTACATACATACATAATATATATACATATATATATATATATATATATATATATATATATATATATATATATATATATATATATATATATATATATATATATATATATAAACCATAACTATGTACCATATAGACCCTATAGTTCCTCCCTGAGGCAACCAATACCACAAGTGCCTCTGACCACCTTGGAAATATAACACAATGTACCACTGCATGATTAGCAAACATAATAACAATTATTAATATCATTATTATTAATATTAACATATTATTATTATCATGCAAGGCTGAGGTAAGAATCCCTGTGAATACTTCGTCATTAAGAGGAAACTCATCTAAAATTTATCAACTTAATATTATTATCTTTTTTGTAATTTGTTTATGCAGCAGCCTCTCTTTTGATTATTTGCCTCAATTTCTCATCGGATTATCTACCCGACAAACACTAAGAGAGAAAACAAATCAATGTTTACTTTCCTCAACACATCTACAAGTATCTGCAATTCACATCAGATAGTTAAAAAAAAAACATTATATTTCTAAGGAAGAAAAATGGACTTTCAGTCTCGTCTAACAGTCTTGTTCAGTATAATATTGGCCTGCTAATAGGAATCTGGGATTATAAACAGATTATACGTCCAATGCTTTATATTATATATATATATATATATATATATATATATATATATATATATATATATATATATATATATATATATATATATATATATATATATAAATTCTTTTTTACATTCTATACATTAAAATGCATAAAAATTTTAATTAGCTTTAAGAAATTACAAGGGACAGCCACATTGCAGTGAGTTGGATGTGGCACTAGATCAAGATACAGATACCTTGGACGTCTGTTATAATTCGGCAGAAGCCTTTTCTTGCCATGACGAAGAAGAATCGAAGTCCATTCCTCTTCCTGTTAAATACGTCTATATGCATTTCACCAGCGAGCGGGGCTGTTTATCCAGTACAAACTCGACAACAAGTACAAGTTAAAAGTTCAGAAAATAAACAATAGCGTACATTAATTTACATGTACAATGACTTAGATTAATTATCCATAATGGAATAACACTGTCTTGATTTTATTGACTTTTTTGTTGCTTAAATATGCTCTAGTGTCAATTTATGCACTCCAGTATACAACTACAACATGAATCTCGGATCACAATGAGTGACCTGTTTATGTACATCGCCTTCAAAATTATTTAGCTTCGACCCTAATGGCATCTGTCACGAGCTTCATAAATAGGTTACCAAATCTGTTCTATTTCTAAACAAAATATTCTCATGCCAGTAACTGTCAAGAACTAGGTCAGGGAAAAACTCGCGCTCTCCTGAGGGAAGCCCACAAAGAAACCTTTCTTATGACAGCAACCCGGAAATATGCATTTCTTATGACAGCCGCTTGGAGATATGCCTTTCTTAAGACAGCCACTTCGAGATATGCTTCTCTGACGACATCCTGTGGGAACCTGACGATCTCTCCACACACACTTGGATACTTGGGTTTTCTTTGACGCAGAAAGATCTCTGCTGTTAATATTCACATCACACCACCACCTTTACAAATATGCCTTCTTTAGAAAATTTACCTAGAAATTTGACTCGTAAAGGTGCTCTTGGACAACTCTACAGTACTTTAAAAATGGCTTTGCTATTTAAAATCTAAAATAATTTCCTTCACAAATTTATAAGGCTGTTGTTTGCCTTCGACAACGAAAGGTTCCATTAACACCTATTTACTCCAGCCAGAACTGTCACAGTTTGTATATTTAAGCTACGAATGAAACTTCTGAATCATAACACAATCATGAATCAGAATACAATCATGCACATCTAAAATAGTTATTCCCAGTCCTCTGTCTTTCTTTCTACCTTCACGTCGATCCTCCTATCTGTCCTTACATAAAAGAGCCATTTGTTTATAGTTTTCTGTTACATGTTTTTCCTGTGAAGAAATCAGCACTCTATCGGTGCTATGGCAAGGAAATATTTGTTTTAACTGAGCTTTGTTTTCTTTAATTCAGCAAAGGAGAACGTGCTTGAGGTAGGCCTGTCTTATTGTTTCCCCCAGGAGAGCAGAGTGCTTCCCCACAAGCAGTAACAACAATATCCTACTGAAGAGGAAATTATATATGATCACAGCTGAGGTCTCATACCCCTAATACTGTAGTATATATATGTAAATATATATATATATATATATATATATATATATATATATATATATATATATATATATATATATATATATATATATATATATATCTCCCGGATAAATTATAGCTTCAAGCAAATAACAATAAACAATGAACCAAATTTAGCCCTCACTAAGAGGTGTAATTAAGAGCGTAGGTAACAATTACATTAAAGTGATATGTGTCACTTTTGTTATACATCTTTCCTAGATCATCACTTAATAGACTACCGCCCACTAGTGTATAAAGTTCTAACAACTAGTCACAACTAAAGTGCTTGGTAGAAAATTGAGGAATCGTCTCTACTTCACTAGTCAACTAGAAGGCCAAATTAATTTGCTTTTATGATTTTTTGTTAAAAAATACTCTACTGCATTTTTCCTTTGTCCAATGTTAAATTTTTCATGAACTTCATTGAAGTCAAAGTTTTAGACAATACATACGATACTCCTTATAAAACTTATACAAAATATTCACTAAAATTATACCAGGAAAATGCAATCAAAAGTATATAAATATTGAACTAAAACACATTGTACAGAATATGAACAAATATATATTCATTAAAAGAAAGACTGTTTGATATTCCTCCACATCAAGGAGTTTCACTTCCTTATAAATACAGTAGAATGGAAATCAACTCATATTTACTTTTCTTATGTCATTCGTTATCAGTCTTAACTGCGATCCATGATATTTTCCAAAGGAAAAAATTGGATTTTTTGCTTTTGGTTTGGATCTTCTGCCACTAAAATAATCCATTTGAAAGGTAAAACTACAGCCACACTTCCCACAAGGTTAGAAGTGGGACAGTTGCATATCTATAAATTGAAAAGTTTTTGAAGGGTGCTTTATGTCTTGAACATAGAGCTTTAGTGGTCACATATTCCATGAAAATTAGATTTATCTGTAAATTCAAACCTTCATCCCAAAGTCATCACTTTGGGTCACTGAAGAGTTCACTAGAGAGAAGAGGAGGTGGAGGAGCAGGAAGAGGACCCTTGGAATGCAGCGGGGTTTAAGATCGTCTTCCAGACGTCCTGGCAGACTTGGCCTTGGTAATTCCTTCGTTAGGCTCTTGTGATAGTGGCGTTGACAGTCGTTATCTAGACGGCATCATCGTCAATAATCTTGGCAACTGTGATTGAGATGTTTCTGTCATATCTGATAACTGGCTAAGATTCTTAAATCCTCCGTTTTGAATGAACGAAGAGGCCCTTCTGTCTGTCTCTCACTCGCTCTCTTTCTCTGTCTCTCTGTTCTCGGTCTAACATTTAGAGTACCAGTCAGAAACAATTAGCATGAGATGATTAGCAAATCGACTTAGGAGAGCTGCTCCCGACTGGCTACATTTCACTGGTCGATTTGAAAAAAAGTTACACAGTACAGTATTTACAAAAAAAAAAAAAAATTGAGGAAACGTCCCCCATTCTAAATGTCCGTAAATCAGCTCTCAATGGAAATCCAGAACTGCAATTCATTTATTCGTGACAAACCCTCATCTTGAATCGAGTAGCCACAAACAAAAGATTACCAACCATCACACAACATATCAATCTCACTCTTTCCTTCCTCTCACTCATAAATATCAGTATGTATAATATAACTAAATTAATCACAAATATAAAATAAAATAATAAAATTAACTGCTTCTGCTAATTTTCAGACGTATATTTTCAAGGTGCTGTCACGAGTGACGCTGTCAGTGTGAGAGACCAGACACCCCCTCACTATCACGACCTTTGTCGCATGTTGTTGAAGATGTGGGTAAGTGTCAACAGGGTGAAGAGAGCCAGAGATGGTACTCCCAGTGTCGCGGCTCCTCCACACAGCTTTATTTCGTGCTCCTGCAAGAAACGAGATGAACACCCAAGCAGTGCATGTGAGAAACAGGATACTTATGCTTTGCTTTCATGCTAAAACTATCATTAGTACCACAAAAGTTATGATAAAAATATAATTCTTATTAGTTGTAACAACAGTAGTTATAGAAATAATAGTGATGTAAGTATTATTAATATTATTATTTTGCTATTATTATTATTATTATTGGTAAATGCTTGATAATTTGTGCAAAATTTATGTGACTAACTTCAATTTGCAATGTGAAAAACTCTTGGATTTGTTTTGTAAAAGACAAATTTTATACAAAAACACAGATCTACTCATTTTATAACTCAGTAACATTCAAGAATTCTACACAACATTGACACTATATTATTATCTAATATATATACAGGTTTGTTTTAATAAATTGTCTCATTGGTGGATTTTCTTAATTACTAATTAGTTTATGACCCATTTTTCTTAAGATTTTTAAGTTACTCTTATTATCATTTATGTAATACTTACATATCTTACTGATTTGCATTCCAATTGTCAAAAATTAAAGATAAAAGTATTTTGGCACTTTTAATTGTTCATTTTATAAAGCAGCTGTAATTCAAATGCCACTTTTTAAGTTAAAGAAGAAGTTATGATTAGAATCCCTTACTTTGTTACAGGAATCTTCATCAGTTTCAGTGAAATAAACGTAACTTAATCTTTCAGAAAATGGGTCTCGTAGTGACGTCTCGTCTTAGAGAGTGAGGTAAGATTGAGACTGTAATTCAAATGCCACTTTTTAAGTTAAAGAAGAAGTTATGATTAGAATCCCTTACTTTGTTACAGGAATCTTCATCAGTTTCAGTGAAATAAACGTAACTTAATCTTTCAGAAAATGGGTCTCGAAGTGACGTCTCGTCTTAGAGAGTGAGGTAAGATTGAGATTCTTCTATGAATGATTTAATAGAGAGTTGCTGACACTCAGAAACTCAGTATTAGTAGAGGAAACCACACTTTTATGATTTACAAATGCAGACTTGCAAAGTGTGTCTCCTGACAAAATGTATGGACTTGTATAATGGACTTCGGGATGTGTTAAATGTGCATTGAGAGTGTGATAAGTGCGTGTATATTAAGCAGGTGTTAAGTGTGTACCTATTGAGCACGTGTTAAGTGTGTGGATCTTTTGAGCATATGTTAAGTGTGTGGATCTTTTGAGTACATGTTAAGTGTCTCACTTATGTTGACACATTTGGCACCAGTGTTCTCATCTATTGTTGTTTTTGCTGTTGTTGTTGATGATATTGTTGTTGTTATTGTTGTTGTAGATATTGCTGCTGCTGTTATTGCTGCAGTTGAAGATGTTGTTTTTGTTATTAGAATATCATAATTTTTAGGGCTTTTCCAGCCTTAGTTTTCGAATGCTAATTAAGACCTCAGACAGTAGCCACCAAGCAGACATGGTGAAGTAGGCAGGCTGAGAGACAAAAAAACCAGCATTGAATGTAATGAAACGCCATTTCCTGGGTGAGTCCCGGAGGCTCCCTGGAGCTTACTAGGCTGATATGCTATGTCAGACTTTGGTATCAGTCATGTGTATGGAGTTCTTATGGGCCTACGGGGGCCACGAGCCAGAACCTGGCCCCCTCCATAGAGGCAAGGGGAACAATGGCCTATAGAAATCCCCGTGTAATTGGAAGTATTCTATGTCTGCCATCGACCAGGTTAGGCACCCAGAAAGGTAGGCGTCCCAAAACAAACCCCTATTCTGGTGAAAATTGCAACCAAATTTTCAACCTATCAACCAACGAGTGGATAGAACTCCCCAAACAAAAACGAACAAACTAGTATGACGTCACCCGTCGTCGCGCCGCTGTCTGCGTAGCCCCCCCTCCCCGGGAGGGGGAAAGGGTAGCCCCAGATCTACTGCGCCGGCAATCCACACCCCAGTTCTGAGGCTGGATGTCAAAACACGCAAAAAAAATGCCAACCGGAGGGAGGGAGGGATGCCGGGGAGCCTACGGGACTAACCTAGAAAATGGCGTTTCATTACATTCAACGCTGGTTTTCTGGGGGGAGACCCTACGGCTCCCCGAAGCTAACTACCCACAGTGGAAAAGAATAGGGACATACCCGGGAGTCAGTTGCTGCTCACTCCTCAACCCAAAGTCGAGACAACTGGCTGCATCCGCCAACCCAAAGCGACACAGGCCCGACTGGGCCCAGGAACGTTTACAAGGTAACGAGCAGCCAGGACCCTGATCGACCGCCAAAATCCCCGCACCTGAATGTCAGCCCAGGACATATTGCCAAAGACGGCGGCAAGAGCCGTGAACTTGCGGACGTCATGGGCACGGGGATAGACCACAGGCTGGCTAGCCTTAATAACCCTGCGGACGACTTGGGAGACCCGCACCCTCGAACAGGGAAGAAGGGAAACTGGATCAACCCAAAGCGCGTCCACGGACACAGAAGCCATGGCGCACAAATAACGGCGGAGAACTGAAACCGGACACAAAACATGATGCACCCCCGGCCGAACCAACCAAGCATCAACAACCCAGGGACTCCTCCGGAAAGCAGCAGTATCATTCTTCGCCAAAAAAGGAGAAGGCTGCAGACGAACAAACCGATCACCCCGACCGAAGGAGCAGAAACCTCTGCACTGGAGGAGAGCATGAAGCTCACCTACCCGACCCCCAGAAGTTAATGCCAACAGGAAAAAGAGCCATCGAAAAACAACCCGGAACTGAAGGGACCACAACAAAACGAAGAGAAGAAAGAAAAGAGAGCACTCTGTCCAATGACCAGGACGGCTCAGGTGGCGCATGAGCAGGCTGGAGGTGAAACAATGCCCGAGACAGCTTACGAAATGGAGCAGACGTGACATCAATACCGAAAGCAAGCTGAAGCGGCTCCGCCAGCGCCACATGATACGAGGCGACAGTATTGGGCATAAGCAGATGGTCCTTGAACAACCAAGAGAGAAAGGACAACACCACCCTAACAGAAAGCGAAGTACAACGACGAAGATGTAAGAAGAACCAGAAGGACCGCCAGGAAACTTCATACTGCTGCTGAGATGCAGCCCGCAGGTGGGACACTAATAAGGAAGCCACCTGATCACCATTGAGGTGATGATAAACTCGAGTCAAAAATACCATACGCGAAGACTTGAGGAGAAGGTCAAACCATCCACGTGACGTACTAGTCCGATCTGCTGGAAGAGGTGGAGCCACGGAAAAACCTCCGGGTTCGGACACCGAGCAAGCAGCGCCTGAAACCACTGCTGGGCTAGCCACCAAGGGGCCAAGAGGACAACTCTCCCCTGGTAAGTCTCCAAGCGAGTAGTAGGCCGAAAAACCCAAAGAGGAAGCCGGCGACGCAGCAACTGATGCAAAGCCCCCGGGGTCCGAACCCAGCGATCGCCCGAGAGAGGCGGAAAGGATGTCGCAGAAGGAACCAGAACAGCCGACGAAGCCAGACCCGACCTGGCGAGTAGACCAGCATCGCAAAGTTCAGGCTCCCGCACAGACTCTCGAGCAACCGCTGGGTGACCCAGGAGCCCCCCAGAAACAGGCACAAGCGGGACCGCAGTCGCAGAAGAGACTCCGGAGGAAGAGACAAGGAAGCAGTCCAAGTCAGCCCCTCCCCAGCCCCAGGGTCCTCCTCCGCAGGACCCTGGGCCAAGTCCTCCCCCCAAGCACCAACCCCACTAGACAAGGCCATAGAAGCCCGATAGAATGAGGCTCGCTGGTCAGACCCAGAGGCTTCGGCCGGGGGAGGAGACTCGAATGCCTCTGTCGCCACATCGGAAGGGGCATCCCCCGAGGCTGCTCAAGTCTCAAGATCAACTAATTCCTGTCCCGACTCCAAAATCCTCAGACGTTTTGGGGTCGGAAGCAGGGAAGGGGGACCAGAACGAACAACAGGAGGGGAAGGACCAGGAGGTGCGGACTGAACCAGGGTCGAAACGACCCCTACCCCCAAGTCCGGAACCCTATAAGCAAAATGGGGCAGCCCCGGGGCATCCAGGTGAGCAACCAACCGAGCGCGTTGCAACAACCGAAACCTAGAATGCAACGCCTGTGCAGCCTGTACCCGAAGATGATCATCCATAGATTGGGTAAATTGAGTCACCAGCAAGCAACAATACTCACAGGACTCAGGGTTGAAAGTGTCACCGACCCAACAGGCTGCATGACGGAGGCAAAAACAGTGAGGGGTCACTCTGAGACAAGGGGACCGAACAACCCTCAAACTCGCATGAAGCGAGGGGGACCCGGGGTCACATCCATCGGACCCATGCATCCCCTAGGGGATTCCCAGGGTCCTAAGTGTTTACTAGAAGAGGACTCGCTCTCAGGTAAACCCAGGCAGGGTACTGCTAACCGGCGCCCAAAACTACCAAACTGTCTAAAGCTGAACCCCAGGGGAGTGTACACTCACAGGGACCAAGCAGGGGGCACCACCAAGTATCAGGGGAAGGCCAAACACCAGTGGCAATTAGGGCAGAACCCCCACCAAGGCAAAAAGAAAAAGAAAAACAAAACCCTGCAAGAGGACAACGTACCACGAAGGAACAGAGCCGGCCGCTGTGATAGGTGACAACTAGCTGCACAGCATCCTGCGCCCCTTACCAGTGCAAAAACTGCCTCTTACCTGAAGGTGAACTTGGGAGACAAAACACCCAAGTACCCAAAGGGCGGCCGAGAAACCGAGCAGTAAAACGGACTCACAGAGGCAGACCTCGAGGAACTTGTGGAAGGTAACCCCAAGCTCTAAAGGCAGTACTTACAAGGTACCTAAGGAAGGGAACCCCTAGGCGCATGCAGCCTGAGTACTGAGAAATAACTCCTGGCTCTCGCACCCCTGGAGAACAGCAACCACACACAAGCCACAGCGCCACAAAAATACTTGAGCCAGAGCACACAACCGAGCCGATAGCATCAGCCTCAAGAACTAGAGTGTGGATTGCCGGCGTAGTAGGTCTGGGGCTACTCCTTCCCCCTCCCAGGGAGGG